TCTCTCCCAGTGTGTTTCCGTGAGCATTGCTGTTAATGAAATCACACATAATACGTGTTTTGGTAGATTTGTCACATTTTATTATTAAACGACCAGTATGAGTGGCATGTTTTAGCCACCACAATACCCACCTGTCTTCCTATTCACCAAGTTTTAACCAGGGGACAAGCAGAACTCTGTGTCCTTGATGCTCATGGCAGGAAAGGTAATAAAAACTATCCCTGTCATCTCTGAGAGCCACTTCCTTCCTTAGGCCCTTGTGAATGATGTGTTACCTTCTAGGGTAGTTACATCAAAGACAAGAGAAAGAATAGAAAGGGACAAATAAGCCAAGAAGTAATTCCAGAGCTAACACTTAAGAGAGACAAGGAGGGAATCACTTGGGAGTTGCATGGGAAACGTGAGCCCGGCAGCTAGATCTGATAGTGTGAGTGATTGTGAGCCTGGAACAAACTGTTGCTGAATTTTCACAGGATTCCAGCTTCCAAGAAGCTGAAATGTAGTCTCTCTGAAGTTTCTAATACCTCTCTCACCCCACCCCTTCCTAATCTCTTCCCATTTCCTCTTCCTTCTCTGCTACTTTCCTTTCCCAGCCTCCACACCCATTTTTCCTTCCTTCTCTTCAATTCTCCTCCCACTCTCCGCCCCTTTTTGTGACTCATTGCAGAGAGGAAATTGAAAGTGAAATTAGAAATCAAACACTGAACACTGAGCCCCTGGTAAGCTGAGGGACGCTGGTGAGGTTAAGGGACCCCAGCCCTATCTGGGACCCTCTCATCTTTTATTTGAAGATTCCCTTCTCTTCATTTATCCCTTGTCTGCTGCATCATACTGGTGAGTCTACCAGATTGGCAACTGAACTCTGAAAGAGGCTGTAGATTTAGACAGCAGGCGTTAAACCTGCCTAATGCAGGCCTCGATTTTAGGTGGTGGGGGTTGGGGATGGGGGAGTTGGAGGAAATTCTCCTCATTCCTTAGAATCAGAACAGATAGATAACTGACCCTCCAGTGGTTTCTTAGAAACTGTAAATCACATGGGATAGGATTGTCTATCTTTTCCCACTGGTGGATTCAGTCCTACATAGAGGATATCCTTTGGGGTGTTAGAAGAATTCTCTAAGGATTTACCATGGCGGGGGGGAGAGGGGCATATTTGAGACAACTAGGACTCACTCTAGAGGGTGGCCCAGGCGAGCCCAAGGAGTCACTAGTCCTGGAAATGGAATTTCCCTTCCCTCCCATCTCCCAGAATCCCCTCCTGAAGGTGTGGGAGTTGAACTCTGGCTATTCAGGACACTGAACCAGGATATATACTGGTCAGTGCCCTAGAGGAAATGATAGCAGGTAGCTAAGAGAGGAGGTCAGGGAGTGCTGACCACACTTCTCAGCACACTCAGGGTCGCCTAAGATGCATGAAAACAGCTCAGAGTATATTCCTCTCTCCCCTACGCCTCAAAAGCAAAACTCATACATTCCTTCCTCCTTCTCCCCACATCTGTTTTCATTTGCAAGCTGTTTGACTTTCTGCAAACAACTGAGTTTGTTTACTGATGTCTATATGTATAAGGGGTTCTGGGGACCTTGTGCTTAAGGGGTTGCATTCCTAGCACAAAAGCAGGCAGTTGGAATCCACCAGCTGTTTCAAGGAACAAAGATGGGCTGTCTTCTACCACGTGATTTACAGCCTCTGAAAACCCACAGGAGGATCAGCTATGAGTCCGTTCTGACTCGACAGCATTTACAAAGGGCACCACGTGCTAAGTAAATCATCTGCGTGTGCTGTATGAAGAAGAATGCAGCATGAGGACTAGAGGAAGACTAACAGCCTGCAAAATACAGCTGTTACGACCTTGCTTGATGAAAGGGAATAGGCTTGAAGCAATTGCCTATGAAGATCAAAGAGAGTAGTCCTCAGAATGGGTTACACTTCAACATAAAGGAAACACAAATCCTCACAATTGGACTAATAAGCAACATGATAAATAGGAAAAGATTGAAATTATCCAAGATTTACTTCATTTTACTTGGATCCACAAATCAACACTAATGGAAGCAGCAGTCAGAATATTAAATGATATATTGCTGGGGGTAAATTTGCTGTGAAAGACCTCTTAAATGCGTTAAAAAGCAAAGTTGTTTTCAGCCACTTTATTCAGAAGCTGGACTTTTAACTAGGGTGTTGGTGAAAAATATTGATTATACCATGGACTTACAAAGAACAAACAGATCCATCTTAGAGGTTAAAGCTAGAATGCTTCCTAAAAGCAGAGACAGTGATACTTGGTCTGATGTACTTTGTATACATGAGACCGGTCCTTGGAGAAAGGCATTATGCTTGGGAAAGAAAAGAATCAGTAAAACAGAAGCAAGCCTGCACTGAGATGGATGGGCAGGGTGGCTGCACAGTGGACTCACACATCACAAGGACTGTGAAGAAGCTGCAGGACCAGGCTGTGGGACACAGGGTGCCCTGGATTGTTAGTAAACTGATGACACCAAACAGCCACATGTTTTAATATGTATAAAATAGATCTGTCTGCATCATGCTTCTGTCACTTTAAGACTAGTGAAACACCTCTAAGTAGTGCAAATCCATGCTTGAATTGCTGAATATGATCACTTTGTCTTTAATATATGCTAGACTTCATTAGTGGGAAAAAACATACAGTTATGTTTATACAGTTATAAGACCACTATTATAAAAAGCTAAGAAGTTTGCACACAGAATATATTTTAGAAGATTAACAGGAATGGAAAGGGGTGAACATGAATAAATAGATACATTTGGTGGAAGGGAAAGACAGTACACAATAAGGGATTGATTGCTGCTATGTGCCATCAAATAGGAATCCGCACACAGCTGACCCTCCACTGGGTTTTCAGAAACAGTAAAGTGCATGGAAGGACCTATCCTTTTCCTGCAGAAAGTTGTTGTTGTTATGTGCCGTCAAGTCACTTGCGACTCATAGCGACCCTCCCTGTACAACAATCCTAAACTCTGCTCTGTCCTGTGCCAATTGCACTGTCTCTGATACTCCCATCCTGATTACCCCAGTCACTGAATCAATCCACCTCATAAAGGGTCTTCCCCTCCTGTGTTGTCCCTCCACACTACGAAGCATGATGTCCCTCTCCAAGGACCAGTCACTCCTTGTAACATGTCCAAAGTATGTCAGACGAAGCCCCAGAATCCTTGCCTCCAAGGAGCAGCCCAGTTTAACCCTCTCCAGGATGAATCTGTTTGTTTTCTTAGCAGTCCATGGTACCCTCAATACTCTTCGCCAGCACCACAGCTCCTTCTATCCTCCCTAGTCATTGTCCACGTCTCTGACACATAACAACTGATTGCAAAGACCATGGCTTGTATCAGACACACCTTAGTTTCCAAAGAGACACCATTGCTTTTCAGTACCTAACGACAGACTTTCCCATAGCAATACGTCTTTTAATTTCCTGGTTGCTGGTGCCAAGAGTGTAGACTGTGGAGCCAAGCAAACTAAAGCTGTGAACAATCTCAATCTCTTCACCATCCATCCTAATGCTGCCAATTGGTCCAGTGGTGAAAATCTTTGTCTTCTTGATATTGAGCCTCAATCCATATTGAAGGCTGCAGTTAATTTGAACCACATGCCTTTGAGATTGCAGTTCAACTTCTTACCACTAGGCCACCAGAGAGCCCTAGCAATTGCTGATTGTTGTTGCATACTATAGAGTCAGAACTAACCCATAGCTGACCCTCTGGTGGGTTTTTAGAGGCAGTTAATTGCATGAGAGGACACTGTCCATCCTTCTCCCTCGAAGCAGCTGGTGGCATCAAACCCCGTGCCTTTGGAATTGCAATGCAGCTTCTTGCCACTGGGCCACATAGTAATTAATTATGCTAATCAATGGCAATTAATGTACTAAAAATGCCTATGAGTGACTATATGAAAAATCAGTATGATTGTAAAGCTTCAGTATTTTTCCATTGTATATTTTTCCCTTTTTTAAAAATTTCTAAGTAAAATATTTATTTTATACTGGTTTACATAGAAAGTTCATATACATTGTTTTTCACCCCAGATCTTTCCCATTTCCTTTTCCCACTCCTCCATTCACCCTTCACCCTTCAAATGGTGCAACCCTATGATTAGCCAAACCTTTCAATGTTTGGTGTTGTTTTTTTAAAGAAGATTCTTGGACTTGAAAGGTTGACACTTTTGAGTCTATCCAGAGGTACCTTAGGAGAGAAACCTGGTGATCTATTTTTTTAAAAAACAACCATTGAAAACCAAATGAAACAAACAATGCAGGGTCACCATAATTTGGAGTCAACTCCATGCAGCTAGTTTATTACCATCATTAACTTCTCAACAAAATGAGTAAGTTGACTGCATGAGATGGGCAAAGATGAGTGGGGGGAAATCTGGATGCTGAGAGAAATCTTTATGATAAATCACCAGAAGGATTCCAAAGTGATAAGTGGTGGACATGACCCTTGTACTAAAGCCAGAAACCCCAGGTCATCCACAACCTGAGCACCCTGGCTCAGCAACTCCCACCAGGACCTTCCTTCCGGCCAAATTAGCAGCTGTACCTGCCCTAAACAGACAATTGGATGTGCTTGAATGGACCCAGGCCCAAGCTGGACATAACTTTTTTTTTATCCCATCTTCTCTCCCTTTTGGCCTTCTTCTCAGGCAGATTTGTTTTCTCTTTGCCCTGTACTGAGGAGTCTATAAAGGGTTTAAGCTGAGATGGACATGATGAAAATCTACTTTTTTATCTCTTGAGGTTCTGCACAATTTTCTCTGTCTCTTTTGGAGACTCCAGTTGCCTTTCTCTTTTACTATATTATAGAAAAGCAGCTCTTATTAGTCAAACAGATGCTCTTGCTTTTTCTTGATTTTACCACTGGTTCATTCCTTTTCCTTTGAATCTTTTTTTAATCACACAACTTTCATCTTCTAATTTCCTCTTATTCTTTCTCCACCAGTTTCCCACAAGATCTCTCTGGTGTCATGGCTTCAGCAACGCCCGTAGCAATGATGTGGGAAGAGGTCACGTGTCCCATCTGCTTGGACCCCATGGTGGAGCCTGTGAGTATTGAATGTGGCCACAGCTTCTGCCAAGAATGCATCTCTCACTTCGGAGAAGATGGAGGCAGTGTGTGCCCTGTGTGCCGCCACACATTTCTCCTCAGGAATCTCCGACCCAATGTGCAGCTAGCCAATATGATGGACAACCTCAAACTAATGAGCCAGAGAAACAATGAAGGTCCACAGGGACATTACTGTCGAGTCCATGGAGAGATACTTCACCTCTTCTGTGAGAAAGATGGGCAACTTCTTTGCTGGGTGTGTGCCCAATCCCGAAAACACCGTGCCCATCTCATGGTTCCTATTGAAGAAGCTGCTCAGGAGTACCAGGTGAGGCCTTAGCACCAGAGCAGGAGCAGGTAAGTAGGAGACGTGTCTGATCAGTGTTTTGTTCCCCAGAGCTTGGGATGAGAGAAGCAGCCTCAGGATTTGAGGGACTGGGGAAAGGAAGGATGCCTAATCTAGTGTAGAATCACAGGCTAACAGGGTCTTGGGCTTTCCCCGTGTTAAAGAATTTCTGAATGTAGGGACCTGATTTTCAAAGGACTCACGCCACTCCTGGTGCATCTTTCTTGGTGTACTTAGGACCTCCCTTTTGGTTTATATCATCCCCTTTATCTTTTGTGAAATGAAAGGAGTTACAAGCCACATTCCATGGAAACTTAGATCAAAGCTTTGACTAGATTAAGGACTATCACATTCCAACCTTAATCCCTTTGCAATTGTTTAGATTGTCAGATCATTACATTTGGTCCATTATATATTTGTGTGTGAGAGGGACATGATTCAATCCATGACACACGGTATGAAAGAAGCAGTATTTCACTCCCAAAAGTTGTTGCAAGATTATACACTTCAATCACACAGAGAGGCCAGAAAAGAGCCATTTTTAGAGTGCAGTCTCAGGAAGATTGAGTGTAGAAATCAGAAGATTTCAAAAGGCATCACAGGATGACAAAGCAAAATATTACAATGAAATGTGCAAGGAGTTAGAGTCAGAAAATCAAAAGGGCCGAACTCGCTCAGCATATCTTAAGCTCAAGGAACTGAAGAACAAATTCAAACCTTGAGTTGCTATAATCAAGGATGCTTTCAGCAGAATGTTAAATGACCCAGGAAGTATTAAAAGAAGATGGAAAGAATATACTGAGTCACTGTACCGAAAGGAACTGGAAGACACAGAAGAGTTTCATGAAACAACATATGAGCAAGAGCCTATGGTGATGAAAGAAGAAGTTCAGGCTGCTTTGAAGGATATGGCAAAAAATTAAGGCTCCAGGAATAGATGGTATACCAATTGACATATTTCAGTTAACAGATGCTGCCATGGA